TACACTTTTGTAAATATTGAAAAATCAAAATAATAGACCTACATGGACTTTGTCACATCTTATAGTAGATTTAGCAATATCCATATCAAAAACTTAAAGAAAAAATTTGGGGCCGTTTTTGAGAAAATTTTGTTTTGTTATTTTTTATTGCTTATACTCCACGCAATATTGCGCGAAAACTGTTAACATTTTCAACAAAAATATAAATGACCTTAATGAAAGAAATAACAATGGAGAACATTTTTTATTTAAAGGGAAAATCTCTCTTCAATTTTATAGTTGTAGGAAGATGCCGCAAAATATTTAGCCTTATGCAATTTTCAAATTTTCAGGGTTAACTGTATAAATATGACCTATGCCATCTTTATAAGTGTATTTTACTCCATTCTTATAAGAAATTTAAAGAAAAAGCTCGGAGCATTTTTTCAGAAAATTTTGATAATGTCCGAGGTTTTCAGGTAAAAGATCCCCCCCCCATTTTCAAGAAAAGAGTTTAAAATCACAGTGCCTTAAGTGGAACCAGATTGACCGGGGAATATTAATTTTGATAATATCATACGTATAGTTTAGGTGCTAGTGGTATTCACAGACTGTCAGACAGACAGATACACGGACGGACAGTCAGTCAGACGGACGGACGTTTTATCAACAATTGTTTTTTAGGTATCAAGGATCCACAAAACAGGCATTCTGGCTACACCACGTTTAGTGCATACTTTTCTTTCTTAATTTATCAACTGGATTAATCCACTTTTTCCTTATCAGGGCTCGGCAATTAATTTGCTCTGCTGTTTTCTTACGCAGCATTATATATCTTTCCCTAAACTACGAAATTCCTCCGTATATAAGTATGTATACGGGAATGTAAGAAATGTTGTTGTTCAGATAGAATTTAATTTCTGAAGAAGAGTTGACTGGAGGTCAGCTGACCTACGTCTGACAGCGTTGTTGACGATTGCGATGCTACAGTCATGTGGTATAATTGGTGGCAGCGGCGGGACGTGCCTAACATAACGGCATATATGGATTACGGTAAGCTGTTCCTGATAAACTTTGACTTTTGAGTTTTCTGGAAGGAAGTTGTGGTACGTGACCAGAACATTTGATTGGTGTGTCGTGTGGTATCGTACGGAAAACAGAAATCAAAGACTCAAAGACGTTTTATTCAAGACAAAATTGCAAGAATTCTAAAATTGTTAAAATTGTCAAAAAAATTGAAATTTTACAAAGGAAAGTCATCAGATTTCAAAATTTTAATCTGGCAAGGATAATTTTTTAACCATTTTAACAACAGGCTTCATTTAAAAAACCGAAGATGTGGAAGGAAATTTTAACGAAAGTGGCTATTGTTTGGGCATTGACAATTTTGAATGTCTTACTTTACTTAGGCGAGAATTAGAAATAAAAACATGAAAAATATGAGAAGGAATGATAAAGTAAATTTATGGAAAGATAGGATAAACCAGAAAATGTTAAGAATAGCAGCAAATGAAAAAATGGAAAGTGAAATTTTACTATAAGAAAAAGAATTGGCAAAGATTAATGCAAATAAAGAGGTAGAATTATCAAAGGTACAAGCTACATCACCAATTGGATGAATTCAAAATAAGGTGTTTGTAGAATCTGAAACAGAGCATGTTAAGAATATTAAACTTAATTTAATACGATATTAGAAAGCTTCGGAACCAGAAAGTAATGATATCGAATTGTATACAAACATGTTTGAAATATTTGCAGAAACTTTAAGTAGCAAACATTAGGGACGATATTTAATGTCTTTATTGACATTAGCAGAAACAAAATATTTAATTCGTGAGAAGAAAGAATTACGATCAGGTAGTATAGATATTGAAAGAGAATTGAAATCAACCACTGAAAAATTAAGACAATTTTATTGAGTTTGTTAATCACCAGATAAATCATGTACATATTTAGAATACGTTTTAAAAGTTAATTTTTGATGGCTGGACTGAGGGATTTGGGATACATTTCTTAAATAATTTAAAAGATCTTGTCACGAAACAAATTAAGATATGTAGCGTCTCCTGTTCAGTGAGCAGGGGAATACGATCAGAGTTTTACGGATTAAAAATGTAGACGAATTAAGATATCCAATCGACATCGTACTATATGTTTATGAATTCCATATTATGAGGTACTCACCTACTGCACCGTCTTTGAGAATCTTTGAGACTTACTAATTTTGTATTGCTTGGTCTTACAGTAATAAAGAAAATAGTACAAAAAATTATATTAAAACATGAAAAATACACTTAATTGTTTAATTAGACAATGAGTTGCCGTCATCTTCTAGCGCACTTAATTTCATAGAGTTTTGGAAACCTTTCAGAGGACATTGGGAGTTTTTACTCACCGTTTCCTGCCTCGTGCAACTCATGCAAACCATGTGCTTGCCGTGTCGCATCTTTTCACAGGAAACTTGTTGGCTTATAATTATCGCGTTAGTTTCAATACTATGATTTTTCTTTGTGTAAGACATGTTATTCTCTATAATGCAGTTTCAAGAAAAACTCAGCACTTTCGCAACAACCCACAGTACACGTGAAAAAACTGGCAAAAGAAAACTATCAGCCACGTGCGGTTGTTTTTCAGTACTGACAATCCACCTCTCCTAAAGAACGTACTGGATCAGTACCGTTGGAAAACATGCGTACGCATGCGTATGTAATGTGGTCGAGATGCCCCCCTTCCCTCAACACACTATGGAGTTTCCATTCGTTAGCACGTGACCACTCCCAGACTTACAGAAAGAAGAGAGGTGCCCAAAACAGGCGATCGCGAAGCTTTGGGAGGGGTAGATGCAGAGCGCCAATGAGAAGTTGGAGATACGACAGCCAGCGACGCCTTACCGTTGGCAGAAATCTCGCATCTTGCGCACAGCACATGGTGAGAGTTCAATGACCTCAGCAACGCAGCGAAGCCGGGGAAGGGATGTTTCCCGCCCTTATATCCACGGTCACAGAAGCGAACCGGAAAGCGCATGGGGGAAAACAAAAGGTACAAACAGAACAGAGAGCTATACTTGAGGAAGAGAAAAACATTTTTAATAAAAGTTTTAAAAGAGCCGAAAAAATTGGGGATGTGACACGTCACTCGGTTTCATTGATCCTTCGCCACTGATGAGTACTCATTGTTGTCGGAGAACAAATCATAGAGAAGTGGGTTAAATGCAAAGAATATAAAGATGGTGCAAAGTTAAATGCAAGTTAAATGCAAAGAGTATAAAGAAAGTGAAGGCGTTGGAAAAGTTTGACGAAATAAGAAATAATTTTAAATTGAAAACTTACGACATATATCAGAAAGAACAACTTAATAGGCGTAATGTTAGAAAGAAAGGTAGTAAAAACGTATAGGGAGTGCAGATAAAAAAAATTACGCACAAAAAAAGGTAAAGTTAAAACTGAGACTTTTGAAAAGCGAAAAGACCTCTAATGTTGTTATTGTAAAAGTTTTGGACTTTTGATAAAAATATCTTTATTATTTTATTTGAAGGAAGGCTCCGAATAACTTTTGAACTTTTGCAATTTTCAAGAGTTTAGAAAGTTCCACGAAATTGTGACATTAGCTATTTATTTACTCGTTTTTTGCTCTATCTGAAGGAGGGATTAAAGATAAAATGCAGGAATATTTTTCGAAAAATGTTGAGGTTCATGTAAAGTATGTTTCGTTTCCACTCCTGCCCGCGGTACTCTGCTCCGCCCTTGTTGCCACACCAAGCCCTACCTTGCACTGTCCCGCCCTGTACTCCATTGTCTTATCCTGCCCTGCTCTGTCCTGGCCTGCCTTGCCATGGTCTCTCCGCGCAGCCTTCAGAGAAGCTGCGAAAGTGAAGCAGCGTGGAATGGGAGTCCCGGGCAGAGACCCTTCCCCCAAAACCGCTCCATGCACTCGGTTCCAAATCTTTAAATAAATGCTCGACGCCAAATACAAATCTCTAGACAAATGCAAATTTACTTCAAGTAAGAACGCACGGCCTTTTAAATGATCCGCAAACTACTTGCAGAAATGAAGTGTGGCACTTCGTTTAAATAAGATCCGCTTTCGGTTCTGTAAACATAAATTTGAAGAAAATGAGAGAGGTTCTGAAAAACCGACTGATTAAAAGATTTGGTTTTGACTTTCAAAATAAAATTGTGTGTGATGTGCATAATTATAGAATTCGTAAAGCAATGTCAAATGTTGAAGTTGGAGGTTGCTTGCAATAATGACACTAGTGACGACAAGGTTTCGTTCGTATTTTCCGTCCAGTTTTCCTTAATACGAGTACTTTGACAAATGGAGAGACTGTATTTGCTTTGCCTTTGAACATAAATTAAGTTTCATTATCAGGCATCTCTTTCTGCTATTTGAGGGAGGATGGGTTTTTTTATTAGTCGACAAGTTTATAAACTAAAAACTGTATTTGGTTTATAGATGTTAATATTTTTCTATCTCTCTGGAGCGAAATGTCTAGCTTTGAAATGTCGCTCACCATGCTTTGATGGTCATGATTCATGTATAAGAAAATGGTGGAGTAGGAATTTTGAAGCGCCCGAAAACATGCACATATTGCACTTTTCCTTCATTCTCACAAACAAGTTTATCGTTTTGATTAATTTATTGACTAAATAATTTAAAATATTAGTCAATTAAAGCGGTTGCCACTAGTGAATCTTGCTGGCAGGGGTGGCACAACGAAATATCGCTTCCGTGAAGTTAAGCACCTCGCCACAAGAAAGCGGTAGTGAAAGCGGGTCTGCAACTTACGTGGCTTACGATTAGGCGCCACTTGGTCAAATGTATTAAATCCTTCGATTTTTGTTATATTTATTAACATTTTTATTTGTATAACCAGCATTTTTTTCATTAGTTCAAAATTATTTTATATCCTCTTCCGAAGACGCTGCTGTAGGTTCCGAGTGCTATACAAGAAACTAACGCGAGTTCTTTTGAACACTAGTTGTTGTTGATAAGCTCAATATGTCGTCTCATGTTGTCGTATGAGCGAGGCGCCAATCGTTGAACTGACAAGAGAAGGCAACAGTCACCAAAGTGATTTCAATGAAGCTCAACGACTGCACTCCGCATTCGTGGGTGGCCCCTTGGGGTCCGCGTGCATTGCCGTTTGGTGTCCGGTCGCACGGCGTGTTCGGAAGCAACAGCGGCTGCAGCGGCTGCAGCTGCAGGCGGGGGAGGTGTCAACGAGGCGGCGTCAGCGGTCCACTGCCCCCCACCCCGCGCCGCCGCCGCCGCCGCCGCCGCCGCCGCCGCCACCGTCGCCGCCGCGCCGGCCGAGCCAGCAAGCCGGTACGTAGGAGCGCGCGGACGCAGTCTCACCGGCTCTCTCGCAGGGGCAAGCAGGTGCGCGAGCGCTCTCGTGCTCTGGCAGGCCCTCGGCACGCGCTCGCGCCCACGCACACGCCCACGCGCGCGCCCTCGCCCGCGCCCACGCCCGCGCCCCGCCATGGGCCTCCACAAGCAGTACCTCCGCGTGGGGCAGTGCGCCAAGAACAAGCTGTTCGGCATCGACCCCAGCCGCGGCCGGCGACCTGCGCGTGCCCAGAACAGCAACGCGTCCACTGTGCAAATGCTCATCTCGCAGCAGGGCAAGATCGACAACGGTGAGTCCAGCCCCTCGCCCTACGTACTCCTTCGGCGCTCTAAGTGTTTCTTCCCTCCCCCCCAATAAGAGCAAACGGTGCATTCCTTGAAGACTCCGAAATCGAGTGTCTTGCGGTCCTGTCAAGATGAGACCGCTCTACGCCTTCAAAGACAACCAATGTGAATGGAAGCGAGCGATGTGTTTTCGTAGGCGACGTATCACATGTGCGATGGCTTTCGTTCAAGTCATTAACAAATATATAAGAACAAAAATATATTTTTGATGCTTATTACCAATTTCTGTAGACATAAAAAATTGTTATAGATTATATTTTCATTAAATACGCGTTTTATCGTTAAGAAATGTTTTTCCTTGTTAGTGAATAATATTGCAAGTTTTACCATCACATAAATCAATGAATGTTTTAAAAATTATATTACTCTTGTGGTAATTCTGATAATATATCTAACGTTAACCTGTCGTTCAATATAATTATGGTTTTGCGTACAATTATAACTTTCATTATTGCTAAGTCTTTTAAAAATATGAATGTCATTCATTTTCATATTCGTATAATCGAAGGTGTGGTGGTATTTGAATGAAGAATCCGCTACATTTGAATCACCAATACATGTTAATTTATTTATAAACAAATTATCCTATACAAACATTGCCAACAACTACATCTTGAGAATTCTGGTAATTTCAAAATTTCCACGTCTTTGCAATTTAATTCTATCTCTTTGTAAATAGGTAAATCGAACATAGGTAAGGACACTCCGTGGTTGTAGTGGTGAAGTGAGGAATAAAGCATAGGCACTCGAAAATCGACGAATCAAGTCTCTACGAGCGGCAGTACTTTGAGTCAAGGATGAACGAACGAATCAGTTGGATAAACTTTTTATGTTTGTAAAACCCGCTTTAACAGGCCATTAAATCAGGTCATTTGCTAAACAAATTCAAAAGATTTAATAAATTAGGAGTGACAACGTTGCATTTCGTACTGAAGATTTAATTTGAACTGGAATATTATATGTTTACATAAAATACTGACGAATATAGACGTATTCCATAAGATTTATTTTTTTACTATTAATGCAGTATCTATTGCATGAAGTACCTAATGCATAATACTTTTGTAGTAAATTCCTCACCTTGTAAATTTAACGAGCATTTTCTAGGTCTGAGGAAGATTCCACCAAGAGTTGAAACGTTGAATATATCTCCTTTTGATAACACATAGTCATGGGACATGAGAGTGTCAGGGTTTTTAATTAGTTTTCTAAAAGATCCAATCTGCAGACCCCTTCTCAGATTAAAATGCTGAGTGCAATGCTTTTTTCCTGTCGAGGCAGACAGGCGACGTCGCCCCTGACCGATGGACAGGAGAGGGGGCGGAGACGAGGGCGGGGGCGGGGGCGAGTTTTTGCCCCGGCGCGGCGCGTCCCTCACTTGTTCGTGTGTCACCTTCGCTTTTTGAGTGCTTTCGCAACGCACACTTACGTGGTTAGGAGGCTCGTGTGCCTTTGAATGAATATGTATTTATGGACTCAATGCTATCAAGCGAACATTGAATGAGCAGTGCGGTGGTGCAGTGGGCAAGTTGTGACAGATTCGGTGGTGCGAGAGACGGCAACCTTTGAAGATGTGGCTAGACCGTCAGGGCAGGCGAGGTACGTCCGACCATCGACTTTCCGGAGGACAAAAGGAGCTTACGACATTTATTCGTGATTACGTTTCTCTTAGAATTGGGTCAATCATCAATGTTGAACATAATTCTGTAATTTTACATTACATATTTAGGTTCGTGAAGAGTTTTAACTAGCGTCAATCTGCGTGTGTAATGGAATCAACTTGCTCTCCTTCCTCTCATACTATTACAATTAATTAACTGTTACGTGTTCCTTTAATAAGCTGAACCGTGGTTAGGAATTATATTTCTGTTGGATGTGTTGGTAGCCTAGTCATGTATTTTAAAGTGATATCCATTCAGCTTTGAAGCTTGTTTGAGTGGAACGCGTGAGAGTCTTTAGCACGAAGGCCGTTGGCGGCTGAATCCCCGCGCATTGGTTAGCCTTTGCCGGCAACCGACGCTGCACTCTTCAAACGAAAATGTAACAATAACAATACTAACGCGATCCTCTCGGTAGTATAAAATAGGTTACAGCTACAAGTTTAGTAAACAGAGTTTAATTGCGAAACAACACATACATTTATTTTATTTATTTTATTAAATGTGTCATTATGCAATTATTATTATTTTACGAATTTATATAGTATCGACTATAAATGAATTACAGTCAAAATTCTAATGACTAATAAACGCAATATCAATTCAAGTTTTTTTACAACTTAATAGATTTAAAAAGGAAAAAACGTCTTTCATTTCCTTTAATTACTTTGATATCACTTCTAATTAATTCATTTTTCATTGCTTCTAATTATTTTTAATTTTTACTTGTATTCTCAAAGTTGCCTAAGGATATTCATTTTTACCCCCTGAACACATTAATGCAATGTTGCGCTATCCAATTAAGAAATTTAGTGACATTGAAATATAGTAGTTCGAGGTTACAATCCTTCTTCCCTTTCTCGTCTGAGATTGATAGAGCATCACGTTCAAGTAAATACATAATGTAATTTTATGTGTAGAATTTGCCACCAGAGCTAGCGGCATCAATACCTGGGTTCCAACGTTCAATAAAAGAACTTGTGGTGAGGTTAAGGAATTTCGGCAGGGTTATGTTATTTCTCCAGCTTTTCATTCCACCATTGCTTCAGTTGCTGATTAATTGTGTGATTACAAGTGATTCCAGCTTCGTCAATTGGTAAGATCATGAGAGCTGAGTCGTACGTGTTTTCTGCTCGGGAGGTGGCGGTAGCTATGCCCTACTGGATGGTGAGATCCTGCGCCGACCTATTGTCGGCTAGAGGTCTTTCCTCAACCAGGTATCACCTACCAGCGGCAAATCGCCCCAACCGGAACAAGTTCTAAACTCCCGACCAGTCTCCAGGAATGTGTGGTAGTGTTGTGCATGTAAGTATAAGTAAAGAGTGATAAGACGAGGAAAAGGAAGGAAAGATTGAGCGATCCGTGGTTAAGATAGTGCTACGGAATTCACCTGGTGTTGATCGGAAAAGCCACGGAAAACTACCGATCATACTAGCTGGCCGTTAGAATTCTCCTCCAGACAGCGACTGAGTTCGGCATAGGTGACAAGGTGCTGTCGAATATCCTGATACCGTCGAGATTTTAACCTAGGACCTCCCGATCAGATGCACTGCAGTGGTATCAGTTGATGCACTGTGCCGCCTCCCTGGGTGTATGACTACCATATTATACCCAAAAGGATTGTAATAGTCGGACTGTTACTGTCAATGTCGCTTCCGTAAGTAAATGGAAATATAATATTGACTTTTATAGTTTCCTGGGGCGGGAACTCGCAGATTTACAATTATTGAATGAACAATCAGCTACTTTGACTTTAATAACTTAAATGATAAAAAAGCAAACATATAAATAGTTGTTTGAAACACACAATTTTTATACCAAATATTGACATCGCAGACAATACGCATTGGCAAATGATATGAGCAAAATTGCAATCTTTACCATGCCCTTCGACGTCGGACTGAAACTGATTCTTAAACTGAAAATTAAACATTAGCGACCTGCAGTTTCTTTTCCACAATATCATTTTACTATCACATTACTATCAGGATATAAAATATTAACCCCCATACCCCCATATTACATTATTTTGTCAAGTAGCACCTTGCTCCTAACAGCACTCTGAAGGAAAATAATAATAATATACAGTATTTACTAGTATGGCATAAAACGTTTCACCATTAACTTAAGTGCAATCGAAGATATTTTTCCAGCTATTGCATTTCAACGGAAGTACTTGAAGTATGACAATTATATTATTGATATTTTTCAAATAATACTCGATATACGGCACAGAGAAATCTAATTTTAGTAGACAATTTCCGTAAATACTACACAAAGGCAACACCGCATCAATATATAATTGTCCGAAACTGCAATTGAGCGGAAACTCTTCTTCATTTCTGGAAATCCCGCAGAGTCTGAAGTTCAAAAGCAGGCGTTGAGTTCATGCGCGGACAAAACAACGTCAGCCGTGTAATATTAAAGCTATCAGATCTCACTAGGTAATGCTGAATTTAAGGCAGACATGATAAAAACGGTTCGAGACAGGTTCCACTCAAAAAAATAATCAATCGTTCAAGTGGCAAATGCGAGCAATTTGGGACCACAATGTCAATGATACTCGAAAATTTATAACAACTTAACGTATGCTACCGGAAGTTACAGTTCCAAAAGGCATTTTTGTTTTCGTTTTCGACATCAATGTGATAGAAAATGCTGTTTACAACCTTGTTGTCTTAAGAAATTCTTCAAAAATTATTGACAAATGTATTAAAATTTTGGTACGTTTTGAGCCTACAGCGAGGGTTACATTTCGGATTGCTTTCGGAAAATTATTCAATGATCTATGTGGGCCTTCTCCGGAGTAATGGCTTTACACGTTTCATTTCAATGCCGCTGATACGCAGCGACAGATGTTACTTCACTACAAAACTCGACGACCTGCAACCTTCACGAACGGGTATACGTGTTTCGAGAACAGATAACGATTAACAAAGCTAAGATTCGGAGTAATGCTATGAAACTTTTATGTGCGGTCCGGCTGAAATGGCTAATGTCATCAAGTGATGTCACTGTAATGTCTCTGACGGGGACGACTTAGGGGTTTGAATCCCAATGGTGGCAGGATTATCGACACTTGCTAGTTAACTGATTCGAATTCAGACGCTGTCTGGAGAGGAATTATAGCGACCAGCCGCTCTGATCGGAAGTTTTCCGTGGTCTCTCTGAACAACACCAGGTGAATAGTAGAGCATTACCCTAACAAACGAGCCACGGAGCGCGCGTGATCTTCCCTTGCCCTTCCCTGTCTTATCTTCAACCCTTACTTACATGTGCTTACACTTTGACTACCTCACAATTCGAAAGACTAGTCGGGAGCTTAGAGTATGTCCGCCTGAGGGGGTTGTCCCGCTGCTTGGAGATACCTGGATGGAGAAAACCGCGCAAATTGACTTGTAGATTGGTGCAGGATCTCGCCACCTGGAGTGACGAACTCCGCCACCTCCGATGATAAAAACGTCCTCTATACTCACGGATATAATATCAACAGTTGACGCTCCAGAAAACACGAAATAATTAACATTATGTGCATTTGATTCCTTTTTCTTAAAGCACTCTAAGCGCTTTATCGAATCCTTGATTTTAACTTGTTTTGTTGCTTGGTTCATACTTGCAATAAGTCATAGTTGTTTTGTTTTATGTTAAAAAATAGCATATGTTTTCCTGTGACTAAAGAAAGCTACTCGTACAAAAAAGCCAAATAATATTGACTACTCGAAATTAAAATATGACCTGTGAATAGGACATTTTATTTTATGTTGGTCTGGTTCTTCTATTGACATTTAAAGGGCGAAACCCTCTTCGCTCTTGACGCCAGAAGCATATTAAGAGTTACCATGGAAATCCAAGAACACGCGAATAAAATAATAGATGTATTCGTTTATTTATAATGAATATCTTGTCGTCCAAGAAGTTAGTTCATTTTAGGAAAAATAGAAGAGGGTTTTCTCCCCAATAAGATATACTCATTCTCATCGTCGTTAAACTTATGGAAGTTGAAAAGTGGCTTTCATCTTAACGGGCTGATAATATCAGAATAACTCTCAACCTTCTGTCTCTATTATTTTGTTTGACTCGAGCCTCAGAATGTTTGAAAATATGTCGTCCATTTGGGATTTGAGGAGAAACTTTCGTTGGAAAATATTGTTTTTGGTACATACATTTTAGTGATAATGAATCTCTATTTAAAATAAGCGCTCAAATTGTATGAACATTTTTGCCTATATATCGAACGGCAAATATTAAGGGAGTACTTGATGTAGTCATTACTGATGAGCATTTCTTTATGCCACATTTCATAGGCATTGTTTCTCAGCACTCGTCGTCGACCTTCAAGAACCAGCTTATGGGCCGTCAGTAAAGGCGAAGTAATTTCGTATCCCTCATGCAGCAAACTCCCGTAATTGCATTAGTCTGCTCATATTAAATTTTTAATTCTCTTCCGTGCGCAATTAGCAACTATGCTGCTTCATTT